AAATTGTTCTTTAAATCTATTATATTTATTTATTTATTATTTATTATTCACCGACCTTCATTGTTCCCTATTAAATTAATATTGTGAAGATCATTTAATTTAGTATTTAAAGAGCTTAATGATAATGTTTACTCTTTCTACTCTCTCTAACATTAGCGCAAATGTATATTCTCTATTCTCCAAATAAAATATTTGTTCAGAGAAATTTTTTCGTCCTTTTAAATTAATAAAACTATAAATTGGAATATAAATAAAGCTTAAATTTAAATTTAAATTTTACAAGATTTAAATATATTTATTTATATAAATAATATAAATGAACCTTATAGTTGCTAGACTATGGCAAAAAAGAACTTAGTGATTTTATTAAAATAACATTAATTAAGCTACGTCGAGCTGAAACAAAATAGCTTACAAAACAAAAGCTTTTCATATAATTCAACACTTGTATAATTATTATTTGTATTTAGATTAGCATCTCTAAACATAGCTTATATATATTTAAAAAAAACTTTTAGCTTAAGCCAAACCTAAAAGAAAACAAACTACTTTTTAGTACAATAACAACAATTGTTAGCCTAACTTTATATAATACAAAAACGAACATTTGCCCCACGCTGACCTATAGAGTTGCTGTAGTTGCTTATGCCTATGCGTTACATATTTGACGAAAAAATTATAATACACTCCACTAGGGTTTTTTATGATCACAGACAGTTAAGAGCACATAGAGCTCGAGTGTTTAAAAACTAAGCGAAAGAAACTAACAAAAGTTGCCATAAACAGACAAAATGCATTGGCGAAAGGCAAGAGGGAGATAAAGAGAGAGAAAGAGACAGAGAGAGAGAAGACAGACACTCACTCTGTGAAATATGTACGGCAAGTGTCTGTGTCGGCATAATTATGCGGAAGCTGACAATGCAACTTGCTTCATTTTTTGTAGCTCTGGCGACCCCTCTCGCAGTTGCATGCAGCTTGTTGCGGCTTTCTTAACAATTTTCTTTCAATGCCTTTTGGCATAATTCCACACACAGGCAAAGACAGTAACAATGCTTGTGGCCCAAAAGCGTTTTAGCTGTTCGGCTTTCTTAGCGCTTCTGTTTTGGTGACGGCTTTTAAATTGGCCACAAAGCTTAATTGCCTCGGCAAACAGTGCGAACTGTGAAAAACTGTTGCCGTTTGATGTCTATTACATAATCTACACAGTTGGCCATGCACGCGATGCTACTGTCAGTCGTATAAGAGCGTGCACATGACAACACCTAACACACACATATAATATATACATATATATTATATATAGCAACTATATTGATCTGATTTGTTATTGTGCAAGTTCTCTTCAGGCATTGCCATAACCATAACCTTGAGCCGAAGCTCCATCATCATTGTAGCATACAAAAACTGACCCTAATCGACCTTAATTATGCAAACGTCAAACATCGAATTTGACAAAAATGGCCAAAGCCAGCCCAAGATAATATATATGTATCTGTAGTTAATATATTCGATCAGCTTGATTCCGTTTATTTTTGGATTTTGCATATGACTTTCTGATTTGTTTGCCGCATAACTGTAGCAGCCATAGATTTATGCAAAGCACAGGTGTGTCATAACGTACCAAAAACGTACCATAAATACGTCACTTTTGGGAGCATTCAATAAATATATATACATATTGCTTTATACCCTGCTTCATGTGTATGTTGAGTATATGATTTCTTTATATATTTCTTGTGTTATTCTATATATAATGTTATTTATATACGATGTATATGCATATGTATGTGTGTAAAGGTATACAAGACTTGGCTAAGATGTTCAGCTGTAGTGCAGCTAGCAAGAGTTTCTCATAGATCAACTAAAAATATTTCAATTTTACAGGGTATCAATGGTTCATAACAATTGAACTTCAGAACCAACAGCCTTTGATTCTCATGTACATACATGTTTTATAAGTATTAAAATATATGTTATATATAACTTATTATGTCTCTAAATACAGGGTATTTATTAGTACATATATGCCTTAATCGCAAATATATTTCACCTTAGCGCTTTCAACCGTTAATCGACTGGCGAGATATTAACAATAATCTCCAATATTGTTGTAGCAAAAGTTATGATTGCATTTCTTCTTTTGTCTTGCTGACTACAGGGTATTTAATGCCTGAGTCGATTTCTATTTCATAGCTTTTCGTTGACATTCGAACATGAATTCGTCATAATTTGACACCTTGATGAATTCATTTCGTTTTGATGATGTTTCATTTTTCTATTGTGTTTCGTTTTTGATTTTTTATTTTTTTTTTTTGTCTCAGTCGGGTGAAAGTCTCGCCCAAGGTTATTCACGATATTTGGCCGCTGAGAGTTGTTTGCCCGTTTAGCTGAGTTGGTGGCTTTGAACTTACCTGTGGCTGAGGGCCATTTGCCCTGTGGGCAATCAGCCAAGTGAACTTGACAAAGATTTAGATTTAACTTTGCAGTAATTACCAAAAATTGTTTGTAAAACTCGGGGAATAATTCTTCTTTTATGACTTGAAAATAAAATATATTTTTCATAGCGCTCACTTGAGTTTAAAATTGCTAAAAATATGTTTTAGTAGTAATATAAATATAAAAGTGATGAATGAGATTCGCTTGAAGAAATAGAAGGAATGGGTAGAAGAGTTAATTTAAAATATTTTTTAATACCTGGATAACAAGCTTTGATAAAGTTTTTTTTTTTGAAGAAAATATATGTATTTTATTAGCATACATAAAATAATCTAAAAATTAAAGTTAATATAATATATTTTTTACTATACATAAATTAAATTACTTTTATATTAATTATATTTTTTTATATTACATTTTATATATTTTTTATTATTTTTCTGTTCATTCAAATATATCCATAAATCTGCTATAGAATATTTTAAATCAAGTTTTTTGCCTAAGTCTTTTGTTTAGGTATCGTTTTCGTTAATATTAACTAATTACATCTGCACGTTGGCCATTAACCCGTGAGTGACCCACTAATGTCTTCATCGGTAAGTGGTCTAATTGGCAGGCTGGGCTTCGCCCGTGGGCTGCTCCCAGACATGCCCCTTCTAAACGTCTCTTGTCGACTGAAACCCCATTAAAATCTCAACACATTTGACGCAAATGCACGCCCTCGTAACGAACATGTCTTTGGTTTCTTTCACTTCTGCCCGCCCAGGCTGACAAAAGCTATTCCAACTATTGCCGGCAACAATTTCTAAGTAAGTGTCCATAATTCACAATTAAATGTTTTGGTGAATTTTCACTTTCTGAACCGAATGGGCACAGCTGCAGATGCGGGAACGCCTATGCGCCTTTGCCTTTTGCCTATTTTGCTTGCCGTTGTGTCTACATGCATAAGATACATATGAAACTGTATTTATTTGCTTAATTTGCATTAATAGCTATTTCGATTTGATCATGATTGAATGAAGTAGTTTTCTAATTAGAAATCAGGTTTACCTTTTGTTTAGTTTGTTTCACTGAGCAGCTGCTCTAAGACTCTTCTTCCTTTTTCATTTTCGCTCTTTTAAAAAATTTGCTTGTTACTTTTTATTTACATCTTAAAGCCTGATGCGTACATTTGGATTACAGATTCCGTTTTAGATTAGCCTCGAAATCTTTCGCTTTAATATATTGTGCTTCTGGTTCACTAAGTAAAGTTAGCCTGCGCAGCTGAATTCTCTAGATTAGTAGCAAAAAAATACATTTTCAAAAGATTTCTCTGCCCTCAAAGTTTTATAGAAATAATGCTCTTAACAAAATAATAGTAAAATAATAATATAGTCATCTTAAATTATATTAATGAGCTGCTCTCATATTTGCATACAGTTTTAGCTTGATATCCAGTCTACAGATAGACTTAAGCTCAATTTACTGTCTTCATTTCATGTTCTATATATGCATTGCTTAAGTTAAATTGTCATTAAAATACAAGAAACTTTCTTCACGCCTTTTCCACTTTTTTTTTTTGTTGCATTTTGCAGCTCTTGCAAAATTTGCATACAAATTGCCCTAAAAATTGATATCTCAAGAGTTGCTGCCGCCTGCGTGCGGCTGCCCTGCAGCGCCTGCTGCAAGCTGAAAGACAAATGTCATGCAATTTGTTGTAAGAGTCGATGTTGCAAAATGCAACAGCAACAGCAGCTGTCATTGTTGTTGTTGTTATTGGGCAGTTTTGTTTGTTTTGTGTTGGTTTGTCAAAGGTCTGGCCATGTCGATGTGGATGCTGTTGCCGCCTCTTGCCACGCATCGCTGCATCATTATTGACAATTAGCCGCATTCGATGGCATTTATGCCCGGACGGATGTGCGCCAGCAACAACAACAACAACAACACTGCTGTTTCTTATTTTAGCTGTTTTTCGTGTTGCTTCTTGGCCTTACGCAACAATTAATTACAGCCAACGGGCCAGAAAAGTTGTTTTTTTTTTTTACAATAAATACAAAATTATTAATTGTAAAGTTGCAACAGTTTCACGACTAGCAGAGGATGCAAGCATAATAATATCCATTTAAGCGTAAAAAAAGGGGCAGCTCAAGTAAATGGGCAGAGCGCAATAAGCACTGAGACAGGTCTGCGCTTTAAGCATGCTAAATGCAATTTGCATTTGGCAATAGTCAGAGGTGAAATAAAAGAATTTTGATTGGATTAATATTGTTTATATATGAGCTGTATATTTTTATATATTTTATATATATTTTTGTATATTTCTTTTTATATTTGTATTTATATTTATATTTATATTTATATTTATATTTATATTTATATTTATATTTATATTTATATTTATATTTATATTTATATTTATATTTATATTTATATTTATATTTATATTTATATTTATATTTATATTTATATTTATATTTATATTTATATTTATATTTATATTTATATTTATATTTATATTTATATTTATATTTATTCATATTTTCTATTTATTTTATTATATTTATTCTTTTTTCTTTTTATTGCAGTCCAAGTTCTTTAAGCCAACCCCTAAGATACACAGCATAAAATGTTCTCAATACTTGGCTCAATCATAGCGCTTGTATTGGCCAGCACAATATGCCAGGCACTGCCAGATGTAAGTATCTATTATACGATATAACGCCTTGAGCTATATAGATATAGGCTTAACACGTTTGCCGAAGAACAACTCATCAATCAATTCAACGCAATTGTTTTCGAGGGGCACTCGATAAGACAATGACAGTTAACTGTTTTATTTGACATTTGAATGCTTACAGAGGACAGCAACAGCAGCAACAACAAACGACCGCCAGAAATGAAATTCATTGTCATTTTATGGCCCGCAATCGCACTGTGCGTAATTAGCATTTAAAAAAAAACATTTTTTGTATATTAATTAAATTACAAAACTATTTAAAGCGAGCAAAAGACGCGGGGAATTCAGTTATATGAGCTTTACTCCAAGTGAGTCGCTCAGCTATCTCTCTCTCTCTCTCTCTCTCTCTCTCTGTCTCTTAGTCTTTCTCTTTCTGTCTTCTACGCCCTCAACAACGCCCGCAAGAGACAAATGGCATTGTTATTAAGCATATACACACACATACATATATATGTTGTGTCTGTGTGTGCAGCTCTCATTGAAAAAACAAACGCACGCTCAGCTTTTGTCTCGTAGAAAAAATAATAAAAAAAGCTTCGCCAACGAATTATGGCCAAGGTCAAATGTAAAATGTTCTTGTAATCATTTCGACTGACTTTCGTATTTTAGTGTTTGCCTTTTGACTGCGCTTGCAGTGGTTGTTTTCTTTTTAATTTCATGCTGAGCTATAGGCACGCCCCTATCCCTTCACTGTATCTGTGTGTGTCTGGCTGTGTTCTTTAACGGCAAACAGTGAGAGTTTTACAAAGCTTGTTAAACTGATTTATGTTTTGGGGCACAGACGATCGCCCAGCTTGCTTGTTGCCATATTTAGTCACTGAAAACAGTTAAGCGTGCTTTCTGATTATAAAAATTTCCTTCATGTTTTACCATGTAGCTTATGTTATGTTAACCTATTTTTTAGATATCAATCAATGTAAGGAGAGGGAGGGAAGGTAATTGAAGCGCGCTGTAAGCTTGAATTATACTCTAAGCTATCATTTGATTATCTTGAAATTGGTTATGATCTTCAACAAGTTTAATTAATGGCTTTTATGGCCAAGAATTTTCTACCGTTTAAAGCAATTTTCCAGCGTTGTTGTTTGCTTCCCGCTACCTCTGCCTCGTTGTCTATAGCAATAAGGTCTGCTTATAGCTGAGGCTTGGCCTGTCAGATGATTTTAACAGCTGAACAAATTTGAATTTAAGAATTCAAGCATTGTTTTCTAGCAATTAAAATAGATTTCCTCTTTTTTCTTAAGTCTTTAAATTTGATTTATGATAAAATATTAGTTGCAATTTATTAGCTCAAGAATGAGACCTAACTCATCTTTATAGGCAGGGTCTCCCATGCCGTGTAAATAGAAAAGTAAAAGAGAATTGCTTTTCTCTTGTCCTCTGCTTACACTTAACCCTTTTGTATATTTGGAATGCTCGTCAATTACCCAAGAGATGCGAATGAGTTGGACATCAACACCATTTTCAAGCTTGAACCGCTGGCTTGGCTGAGGGTTCGACTTTAAATTTAAAATTAATTAGAATTTTATATGCACGTACAGATTGTTTAGATATATAAATTATGTTCCAAACACATAATTGAATATCATATTATTTATTTTCTATAAATTAAGTTAATTTATATTTTTAATGCTAAAAGCAAAAGACATTTTTCTGTAGACCCAATTCTTTAACTTCTCTTCACATAGCTAATTTGACTTTTCTTAATAAAGTAGAAAGAATTTATGTTACTCTCTACTAAGACACTCGCTGCCTTCTAGAGCTACCCTTATGTGTCTATTTTAAATAACTTTACAGTACATTAGCTGACTATATTTCACTTCACTCACTTCTGCCAAGCTCAAGTAGAGATCTATCAATTAATGCCAGCATACAACAGCTCAACTCCGTTTCTGAATTTGCTGTCATTTCCTTGACACTACGATATGAGAGCAGAGTTGTTGTACATTAGATGGTTGGATTTCCACACGTGCTTGAATATATTAACAGAGAAGCTGCTTGCAACACGGACTGAGAGTCAAGACTGAGTCTGAGTATCCGATTGCAACTAAGACTGCAATTAAAGTTGACTTTTTGCGTGCCAGCAGCAGCATCATAAAATTGTAGACAAAAACTATGACGAGGCCCTTCAAATCGCAACGAAGCATAAAAAATTATGAAAAGCAACTGGCCAAAAGCTGAGACAAACAGCACGAAAACTTTGCAGCGTTTCAAGAATCGATTCGTTATGAATGCATGAGTCAGCCAATTGCAGTTTGTTGTTGTTGTTGTTGTTCGTAGTCTATAAATATTTTATATGCTGTCCTGAGTAAAAAAATATGAAATTGCCTTCCTCTTCCTAGCTGCTGCTTGAGCCTTTTAATTGCGAAATCAAGAACTTTGGCGTCTGAAATTTGTGTGGCACGACTCATTGTTGCATTTTGTCAGAGGCTGTGCTCTGGCTGCTTGTCACGCTCGACTTTTATCTCTGGCTGCGACTTAGGTTTGGGTCACGTTGCCCGCCAATGGCCGAGCGAGTGTTGTGTCTATAAGTATACCATGCATCTGAGTAATATTCTAAAGATAAATGAAGTAAGAAATGTTAAAAATTTTATGCGCAAACAATTTTCCATTGAACTGTGCTGTGTTTGACTTTTTCAAGTTAAAGTTCCTCAATCTTCACCTCTTAGACTAATTCATAAAAAACAACTAAATGTGCCTTTGAAGCAGTCCCAAAAATTCATTGAAATCTGAGTTAGGTTGACAATGAGACGCTGGCGTCTCAGCGAAATGACTTTCGCATTAGGCACAGTCGCTGACGCCTATGATGTTATGGCACTCTGAACTTTTCACACTTTGTTAATTTTGTGCCCAAACAGAAATCAGACTTGGGGAGAAGATTGAAAATAACAACAGAAGCATTTGTTAATTTCCGGCGTTAGTCGCGGCGCGGCAAGGTCAACATACCCCAAGCACAAAAGGTAGCTAAACATATTATAATGATCATGATTATGACTATGATCATACTATCTGCTACTTCTACTTGATCTGTAACTCAATTGCGCTGAAGTATATAATTTCTTTATGTGATTTGCTTTGGCATAAGGTCGAGTGACACTCTGGCGAGCATTCGTATTGAGAGAGCCATCGATTTGGATGTTGACTTTGACCGGTGCATGAAAATTGCACAACGCAAAAGAGATAAGTAGTCGATGTGTGTGTGTGTGTGTTTATGCCATAAACAGAGTATTGGCCTCCCCGTGGCCAATTTGAAGCACACTTTTTGCGCTAATATGGCGGCTACACCTTTTACTTTGAGTTTTGCTGGCAGCCACAGTCGCAGTCGGACTTACCATGCCGGTTATATCGGGCGTATGAGTAATCACACAATTTCAGTAATTGCGCGCACAAAACAGCAGCAGCAGCAGCAGCAGCGGCAGCAACAACAACCGGACAACGAGCAGCAAACAGCAAACAGCCAACAAGCAGCAACAACAACAACGCCAACTATACAAATTACAAACACAAATTTCACAATATTCGTCATTGCACCCCGTCGAAAATTAAAGCGCGCGCCGCTTGGACAAATGGCCAGCAGCCGTCGCCGTTGCTGTCGCAGTTGTTGCTCTGAGCCATCGATGAATGATTAGCTGGGATTCAGCTCACTGGTTCACAGATCTTTCTGAAGCTGTGTGACATTCAAATGACAACTACTTGAAGTAATCGATTGATTGAAGCAAGGCTCGCAGCCAAGCCCCGAAAATTTTGCAAATTTACTTCTTTTTTCCATGCTGAACCGAAGCAAACTAACCAAAACTAGTTGCTTAGTAAATAAACCCAGTCTATAAGCCGGAACTAAACATAATTTTTGTATTTTAAATATAGTGTGAGTGAGTGAAGAGAGAGAGAGAGAGAGAGAGAGTAAATAATTTACTCTTTGCTTAAGTTTGGCTAGACGTAAGTTTGACGTTTGCAAATTTGTGAATCGCTAAAATTTGAAAAATATTTGATATTTCACGTATGTGAAAATGAATTTTACTAACTGGCAGTTAATGCAGAAAACAATTGTGAGTAGTTAAGTAAATGAAACATAATTTTTTTTGTGAATGTTAGGGCTTGGCTCTATGTAAAAGGGTAGCTTTTCCCTTAACTGAAAATTTATTTAATTCTCCAAAAAATAGCAAATTTCTGTCAATTTAATTCAAGCTGAAATACAAACATTTATTCCTTATTGAAAAACGATTCAGTTGAGCTTAATTTCTGGCTCTGTGATTCATTTGAATTGCGTTGCCAGCCCTGGGCTGGCTAAGCTTAATCGCCGGCGCTGATCTTGTTCATCAAATGGCTTTTGCATAATTTGCTGTTAGCTCCCATTAATTGCAGTTAATTGGCAGCAAGGGCCCCTGCCCCTGTTGTCTCGCCGCCTCATATTGCCAACTGGCCAAGTGTTGATTGGTGTTTGGTGCTTGGGGTGTGGCCCCATTTGGCATTTGCATATTGCAAATTGCTGCAGGTGCAGCTTTCCCAATGTACGAATGCAGCCCCAGGAAGCCCTAAGAAACAAGCACAGCATCAGCAGCAGTAGCAGCAGCAGTATCATCGTTCCTCAACACATTTACACTAACAACTCCGAGTCAGACGAAACTTGGCTTCAGTTTCACTTTCAAAGAGCTGAGACTCGACCCCCAGGAGCGGCTGCAGCATCTCTCTCGCTCTGATCGTCTGTGACCAAAACACGTTTCAAATGAAAGTAAAAACTCTTGTGGCATTGTCTGTCTCTCGTTCGCCGTGGCTCTTTGCGTTTGTTCACCTGTCGCCGTTGTTTCATCTGACTACGTCGAGGCGCTCTCTCAATTAAAATAGAATTATCATGCTAACTGTTATACAACGGACAACAACATTTTTACCCCACAGACAAACAACGAAAACCAAAAAAATATTGCTGCTTGAATCTATGTTGTTTACCTTGTCTTCTTCTTAACTGTTTGTTTGTTTGCCGTTGTTTTTGTTGTTGTTGTTGTCGTCATTTGCTGTACGATTTTTGAGTCATTTCGGTGCGGCGCACCATTTGTGGCTGTATAAAATGCAAGAAATTTGCCTAAATTGCCGGCGAAACTTTTTTGTTTGTGGCTCGCTTGTAGCATGCAGCAAGTTCGCTGCCTAAGTCTTTTGTTTTTGCCTGCCGGCCTGTGTCAGTTGTTAAAGGAAATTCTAGTCTGCTCTGACCCTGTAACAAATTTTGCCAATTGGCGATTTGTTGCGGCCTCTTGGAATCCAAACATGCGGCAAATATTTGTGCCAAAAAAAAAACTAAAAATTGGAAACGGAAATGCGGCTTAGATGTGAGCATATAACCCAGTTAAAAACGAATATTGAAAATCGAAAAGACATTCATAAGCTAAGGCTATTTGGCACAACTAAGTGGCTTACGAGAGTTTTTTTTTGGATTTCACGCTAAACCGTGTTAGGCAATTGAAATTGTTTGAGTTGGCGCTGAATGACTGGGAAATACCCTAGAGGAATAGGCAAGAAGGGAATTTGCATATAAGCGAAGTTAGGCTGATTGGCAGAGGCTGAAGTATAAGAAAAATCCAGGGCATACCTGGCTAGATAATACGCTGGGAGAATAGGAAAGACTAGATGATGCCCTACAGAGAATTGATATATTATAATAAAAAATTAAATGAATGAGAGGGCAAAGTGTTTCAAGGATAATGAATGCGTTCTAGTAGGGCATGCTCAACTAGGAGATGCCATGGAAGAATAGTGGAGACTAAGAGACAGCCCAGAGGTTTAGACTATAATAGAAGTTACTTGTCAGAGAAGGAAGTATGTTTTGCAAAAATAAGAAGCGGAAGTTAAACATGGCTAACTGTGTTTCAGTAGGGCATATCTGACTAGGAGAATAGGGTTGACTACAAGATACCCTAGAAGAACAGAGTAAGTCTAATTGGCAAAAATAAGAGATGCGCCATATTTAGCAAATCAAAATCAGGTTAAACTGTTTTAGTAAGGCATACCCGACTAGTACATACCCTGATAAATAAATAGATTATTCATATAAAAAATTCACGAATTAAATAAGTTTGAGAGAAGGAAAGTTGGCATGCACGACTATGTCATACTCTGGCATGTAACAGAAAATATTCATTATGCATCAACATGCAAAAATTTAGATATTATATGTATAATGTGCAGCAGACAGAGATCTTTAAGACAACATATATATGCTATATATTTGAAGCTCTTATTCTTATACAGTTCAAAGAAAATTATAATATATCTAAATAGAATTGTTTCTATTCAACCAGTCAGGTCTTTTAAAGAAACCCCCACAGTTGAGCTCAAACAATATCTAAAACCAATCTGCAAATCAATCCGATTTGGCCAACAACAAAGTAAAGCAACAACAATTGCGTGCAAATTAAAATGAATTTATAACAATAAAACAGAATTTGTTATTAATTAATGTATGCAATTATTGTGCTCTCAATACACGTTTCATAGTTTCGTATACACGCACTGGCGATAACAGTACACGCAAACGGTTTTAGCCGTTTGTTTGTTTGCTTCTTGGTTTTCCTTCAGGTGCCCCTCCCCCCGCCTTACGCCTTGGGCCAAACGGCATGCGACGATCTGACCCTGACCTACTTGCTGAAGATACTCGAGCGAGCTGCGACCGACAAGCCTCGGCCCGGCTCAGCTCAGTTTAGTTCAGTTCAGTAGAGCTCAGCTGAGTCGTTAATCTTTAGACCACTTGAGTGGCCGTGCAAACAAAAAAGCGTATTCAACTATAGCCGTATAAACACTTGTGCCCATGGCATGCCTTTATTGCATTGAATTATTGATAATTTCTCAATGAATACTTTAACAATTGCTACAATTTGTAGCAGCCCTCCGGCTGCTGTATCTTTTCAATAATTCACTCATTCACAACTCTTTCTCTTTATGTTTAGTTGCACAAACAAATGTCGCCGGAGCAACTGCATTCGGTTTTCCATGTGGACACACACGACGCCGTGCCGCACTATGAGCTCGTGCAGCTTCTGCACCACTCGTCGCACGGCGGACTGCAGCGCAAGCGTCGCAGCATCGACGAACGCAGCAATGCGCTTGCCCAGAAGCCGCATCATGTGAAAAAGGATCTGAGCAAGAATGCCTACTACAGTGAGCTGAAGCAGCAGGCGGCTGCCGCTGGCGCTGGCAGGAGCAATAATCATCTGCTTGGCGACGACATCAGCTCCATCAAGGCGCACAATGTGTCCTTCAGCGCTTTCGGCAATCACATGAATCTCACGCTGCGCGCCACGCAGGGCCTGTTCAAGGGCGCGCCCCATGAGCTGCGCATGTGGTCGGTGGGCAGCGAACCAAATGCCACGCATGGCTTGGATCTGCACGAAATTCTTGATGAGAAGGTGAGTTCAGCGTACTTTAAAGATGATCAAGACTCTTGCTAAACAAAATTCTAATAAGTTTTTGGCCACTCCCCAGGTAACATTAACAACATTTATTGTATCTTTTGATTTTGCTTTTGCCATGATTTGTGCTTTTGTTATTGATCACGTTTCTGTGGCTACCTTTTTGATTGGTTTTTCTTGAACGTTTCTTGCACTTTCATTGTTACATCATGAGTTGTAACATTCGTTGGCTTTTGTTATTTTATTCGTGCTTTGATTTCGGTAAGCATTTGCTTTAATACCCTAGCAGAAGTTGTGATGTGATGGGGTATATGTGGCTTACTAGATATACAAAGAATATCTCTTATATAGATAGATGCTGTAAATAAGGAGATCGAGGGAATAAGTTAAGTGAATGAAATTGCTTCTACTTGTCTCTTTATATACACTTATATAAATACTTTGTTAAGAACTGAAAGATATTTCATTTTAATATAAATATCTAGGCGCTTTTGCATTTTGTTTATACAAAAATTATTCAATTTTTTATAATTTCTTCTAACAATTTCTTAAAGCTGTCAAATATCGACATTTACTTTGATTTGAAGCCAATTTTTAGCATTTTTAGTTTTATTTTTGATACCTCTCTTAATACCTGAAACTTGTTTATGGTTTTAAATCAAATCTTAAAAAATATGTCAGGCACAAAAAAATTTGTATATATTTTTAAAAAGTTTATAACAATTCTTTAATTATTAGACTTTTTCCTATTTTTATCGTTTACTTCCTTTTAGCTGTTCTTACAGACTTAACCTTTTGATCAGTTGACGTTGATCTTCATTTCTTGAGCTTGACTTCTTTGTCCAGCTCTCTCAATCTTGCTCTCTTGTTCTTCAGCTCTTGATATATGTACACTAAGCTCTTTGTATGGACTCCTAAAGCATTTATTAACATTGTTTACGCTATATACAGTTTAGATATTATATATAGTTGCTATACGTCCCATATCAAAACTTCACCTCTTGGCTGTCATACAGGGTATCAGCTAGTCTAACACTTCCACCTAGAGCTGCTTAACTTGTTATTTATTTGTTTTTGTCTAGCTATGTCTTCTGCTTTTAAGTAACCAGACTTTGCAGCTTATTTTATTTTCTTATCAGCATTCGCTTTAGTTGCGCGTCGTTTGTTGTTTTTTTTTTATTTTTTCTGTGCGAATCTAATCAAAATTAATTGGCCATGTGATAAATAGATTAGAGAGCCAAGCTTCAGTTGAACTACATTTTGTGTTATGCAAGAAACAAAACTAAAAAATTAGTAAAGTCAAGGACGTGCGGAAATCGGCTTATATAAAGCAGCTGGCCAGATAAGCGCCGCTGACAGCCGTTGACACTAAAGCGACAATTGATAGTCTTAAAAGCAAGAGACACACACATTATGCAAAGTAATTATTATTAATAGAAATTACAAATTTTTGATTGTATAATTTATGAAATTTAATAAAAAAAATATTTAATAAGCTTCGCTGCTTTGGGCATATCCAATGCTTTGCTCTTACCCAAATTTGATTAAAGTACAAATCATTTAATTTCCAATTAAACTCACACAGACGGACACAACTAAAGCACTTTTCGTGTCTGCGACTTCGCCATGAACATGAACGTGACTTATTTCAATTATGAGTGCACACTTTCTTTTGCCTTGCTTCTATGCATTAACTGTTATTTACAGTAGTATACAAACACACACACACGCCAGATAATTATATGCCCAATGGCATGGGGCGTTACCTCATGTGTAAGCACTTACTAGGTTATTTTTATGATATGACTTTGGCTGCGACGCCAAGTTTAGAGACAAACGATCGATACGCTCGACTTTCGGGCATTTATTACCGAATGCGAATTGCTGTAGGAACGTCAGCTGTACATAAAAAGTAACAAAAATAAAAGCAGAAAAAAATGATTTTAATGCAAGACACAAACTTCGGAAATGAAAGTGAAATGTCATGTCAGGCGACAGGCGAAAAAGAAAAGATTGCTGGCTGGCTGGCTCTCTCGACTTCTTTCGGACTCCACTCGACGGTTCACTGTGATTTATGTGTGATAATTCAACTGCTAAGCCGCTGCGAAATGCGGAAAAATTCATGTGTGTGTGTGTGTTTGTGACTGTCATTTTTATTGGAAGATTTTGGCTTATTTTTTATTTTAATTAAAAGAAAAATGCGGCTGCAACATGACTGCAAGTCTCCCACTCGACATTTTCCAAAGTGTTGCCAAGAAAAAAAACCAAAAAGCGAAAAATGTTTGGCAATTATTTTTCGGCAATTTGACTCATGCCACAAAATGGTAGAAAACAAATGGCCTCCAGTTATAAACGGCAATCACAGACACAATTTGATATTTGCTCTATGTGATTTTTGTTTGGTAATGGCGGCACTTGGCCGGAGACCTTCCATCAAAAAACATTTATTCTAATTTGTGGCATGCATTGTTTTATTGTTTCTCATTTTTTTGGCAATTTTCGTGGGTTTTTTTTGAGTTCAAAATTAAGAATCTAACCGCATGCGGAACAAATCTTCTAGATGACCGAACCCGTTTGGTGGGAAAACAAAAGACTTAAGCCACAAACTTGACAGGGAAATTTATTTGTCAGCCACAAAATTGCTGCAAATTACATTTTTTTAGTCTATGAAACGTAAACTTTCAAAGCTTTAGCTTGCGTTTTAATTGCATTGGATTTTTGTTGTGTCTGGTTCCCTTTTTGCCTGCTGATGGAAATAAGATTCGTGCAGTGAAATTTTTCGTACAATTTCTGGACAAACAATGAAGGCAGCCAGCGTTCGTTTCGTATTGGCAACGCCCCAAAAAAAAAATGGTATTTCTGCTGCCACGAAAATAAAGGCAAACACAAGGCGTCGCACGGCACACCCACCGCCGCATTCAATCGATAGGCCCCACCAAAGGTCAGGCGCAGCAAAAAAAAAAAAAATTAAATAAAATACTGCGGCATATAAATAAAGGTGCAGGTTTTTCCCCAGCAGCCCGCTGCAGTGGCAGCTGCCTGAACGGAGCATAACAAATTTTTCTGCAAACAGCAAACTATTTGAGCCAGCCAGAGCAAACCATGGAAGGTGTGTGCCCTCTGCCTGATAATGAAAATAATTAAACAAAAACTGAAACTGAATATTTAAAAGACAAAGACAGGCTGGATAAAAAAGAGTAATACTATTTTGTATAATTGCTGAAATTATTGATAATACGTGTATATCGATAAATTTCTAATAACATTTGTGATGTTTTCGAAGCACTTAAGAAAGTCGAATCTCAGTCAACTTTCGAGTTACTTTTGTCTGCATGACAGCGCACCAATTGAACTAAGGCATACAAAAGTAGAATTCAATTAAGGCACTCAAAGTGCCGCTTCAATATTATTTAATTGCATATATAATGGCATAAATGCAGCCTCCAATCCAAGCTAGAAACAACGTAATATCTTTAACCACTTTCCACTTATTACCATTTCTTTTTATGCCGCTCTTATTTGGTCAGCTCATACATTTCGTGTATCTAATGCACACGTGCAATCTGTAAGCGCAGCCTTGAAAGTTTATGGCATCCGTATGAAATAAATAACGGTATATATATATGTAAATCAGCCCACAGTGCAGCACAATCGGCCGCTGCCTTATATGGGCCAGGGCAAAGACAGAACCAAAAGCCCATTCCTGGGCTTGGCAAACGGCAATGCGAGACGAGTTTAGAGACTCGAGTCAAGCCAAGCCAAAGTTAAAAACAAAAGAATTGGGTAATAAATGTGCACTACTTCTCGACTCGTGTGTTGAGGCGCTTCATTCTCAAGAGCCGTGCCCAACAGCAACAACAACAACAACAACCAGCTGAAAGCCACATAATTGAGTTTTCAAAATGCATTTTTATAGATGCCATGAGTGTTGAGCTTATAATTAAAATGCTATTAAAGCAATTGGTGCATATTTCCCAAGCAGAGCCACTCTGAAATGCACACATATATATATTTATATATCTATATAGTGTATCTATCTGGAGTGCTTGCCGCTTGTCATTGCAAAACGACTTCAACTTGCTGCCCATTTCCATTTAGACATTTTTTTGAAGCATTGCGCTGGCGCCGAACGAGCGCTTGATTAATGAGCCAGCGTTTTGGCAGCTGAATGAATTTGAAATTAGCTCACTGTCTCTTCCACTCGGCAAACGAATCGCTAGAAAGCAGCTGCTGCTCGTTGCATTTTCTCGCTCTCTCTCTCTATCTCTCTGGTCGCTGCAATCGGTTGCATAATGCTCCCGTATTTGTGGCACGACAGCCGTTGTTGTTGCTGCTGTCTTCACCGTGCTCATGTTGCAGTTATTGTTAACGCTGTGCGGCTTGTTGCTTTGTAGCCGAGCAGCACCAACAACAACAACAATCAGCAAACCAACAAAGTTGATCTCGCTGCAGTCGAGGTTGTTCATTCCCTTTTATTTTGTCTTATTTTTTGCACCACAAAAGTACGAATACGACTTTGAGTGGACGTAACGAGCGATATATATTTTATTTCGTCTAGCTCTTTGCGCTCTTTTATAAAATTCGCTTATCTAGCGGCCACAAGGGAAGGAAAAACTTCATGAAAGTCTAATGCAAGCACGGAAGTTTTCAAATTTTCACTAATCTAGCAACGAAAATCACTTTGATTATGACAAAAAGTAGTTTTCGAAATTTGACTTACAAAGCCAAACAAAGCCAGAAAATCCTTATCTAACAACTCAAATACAATTTCAAGGAGCAGAAGTTATGGAATACCTTCAAAAAAACCACTAATCTCTCTCATTCATTATAAATATTTTTAGTTTACCTTCATTTGAATGAGTTCTCTTTAGCTTTGCCCACATGCGGGCCCGATTGGCTGCGACAGTTTATGCTGAGCCGTTAAGCTCAAGCTGAACAATTGAAAAAATCAGACATAATCATAACATTGATCATCGCTGATCGATTGAAATGTGTAATTAGCCGAATAATAGGCAGACAATGAGACTGAGTTGCCGTTGCCGTTGCCGTTGCCTTGGCATTGTGACGGCCAGAAGACCAAAATCAAAACAAACTCAAAAAGTCTGCACTGAAAGCAAGTCAACTGTGCTGCTTATTGTGACTGGAAGCGTATCGGCTTATGCATAATAATGTAAGTCTGTCTGTGTGTATGCGTGTGTGCGTGTGTGCAGTGCATAATGGTGCGTAATAAGCACCAGGCGCAGATAAATCGAAATCATTATGCGCGCAGACAACGCGTCGTATGCGTAACAACGCCCACACGGCAAACAACGGCCACGTCGATGTCGCCGTCGCTGCTAATGCGTTAATTGTCAGTTAGCGTGGTTAAATGACTTGTGGATTTATGCATGCGCATAGCAGCTAGCCCAGCTCTGTGCTTTGAGTGGGCGTCATGCGCAGCGGCTTTCATTTCCAACAATAGTAAATTAGCTGCTCGACTACGCACAGTTTCAAACTCAAGTAGCTTTTCGCGTTTTCCGCCCAAAAACAAGTTCAAAGGCTAATTTTCATTTCGTCAAGTTTGTTGCCTAAGTCTTTTGTTTCGCCGTGCGCTCTTCTTGCCCGCCTTTCCTTTTTCTCTTTTCAACTAATTTGCATTTGCAAAGATCGCAAAGATCGCTGCCCGGAAGTAGATGCGAGTGAGTGTTGCTTTTACTTTCCTCTAGGCAATTTGTACTCTCTTTTTGGGTAAAGTTAAAGTACTTGATTCATGAGACTTGGCATTTGGGCTTAATTGAATTTGTAGCGTAATCAGAGCAGATTGATTGGTTGAGATTAACTTGAAATAGAGTAGGCGTGGTTGCTTAATAGATGATGGCAAGAGTATATAGTATCCAGATTGATTGAATACGCTGTCAATGTAAGCTTTGGTAAGGCATTTTGGCTTATAGACCAAGTGGTTGTGTCCTGAGACTGTAGACTAGAGATTGATTTTTTTAATACAGCTTAAGGTAGGCAAAATTACATAAAATATTTGGCTGGGCCAAAGCAGTGGTATCAGTGACTGCTATATCTTGGTCAAGACTACCACTTTTTGGCTTATAAGTTTTAGCCCTTATGCTCAAGCAGCTTTAGAAGTATGATATAAAAACGAGACGTCAAACTAGAGATGATAGATTTTCGGAAATGCAGTATCCAATTGGATTATCTAGTCAATAAATCTTAGCCAAAATGGCTACTCACACGCTTTTGATTCTTGACTTGACTTCTGCAATAGTTAACATGAAGAAATGAAAGCAAAGAGTATATTATCAACTAGTGCCAACTGATCTATGCCTACTGTATTTATAGAGTACTTTACTTGCCTGCATATAAGCTGAACAAATGCCCTAAATCAACGCCCACACAGCCAATGTCAGTTAGAAAGCGGCTCTTTAAATAGCTCCATTTTTTGGACCACAATCTTTCATCTAATTGCTCTAAGCGTATTTCTCTCACTGCCCCATAAAACCGTTAATGAGGAGCAATTTATAAAAATAATATGCAAAAACAAAAAAAAATAGAGAAAAAAATCAACTTATGTAGAAAGGCAACAAATTATATGGCGCCAATTTGGCTAAAAAGCCCTTGGGCCCGCCGGACACTCGAAAGTATTTTAGCAGCTGAAGTAATTGAGGTAGCCAGCCAGAGTGGACTATGTGAGTAGTGTGATTTACATAAGCGGCCAACACACACACACACACACACACGCAAAGTCTCAGCTGACTTCATGTGCATCTGTGGGCCGCATAATCTGCATAATGTCTTGTAGCCATTTGTAATTAAAAATTTACGATGTCGTTAATAAATGAAAATGAAAAAGTGTTGGCACCAAATGCGCGACAGCTTACAATGCATGCATCAAGTGGGCTAATTAAAACTGCAGCAGAACAAATGCGCCCGAAACGGGCACAATTGTCAACTAACGAAGGAAGTGGCTGCGACGCCATGCAAAGTGGCTTCAAAACACAAAAAAAAAACAGAATAAAAATTAAAAAAAAATATTCAAAATAAAAATTGGTGCTTGTTTCTTGGCCACGATAAGTGGCCAACGGACACTAACAGTTCATAAATATGGCCAAAGCACTTGGCTGCAGCGTTGACAAAGGCAGCAAGAAAAAAGAAAAAAATCCATAGACCATAGACAACAAGTGCCTTGATTCTTGGCAGTTGGCAGCTGAATTAGAAATACAGAAATACTGAAGCATGTCATGTACGTGAGCCATTTGGTGTGGGGGTCGCTCTTGTTGCTTTGAACTTATTTCCACAAGGTCGTTAGCCAAGACATGTCAGCCAACAGCCCGCTAACAACAACAAATTAAGCCATAAATGCTTGTTGCACATGAAAATTGCTTTTTATTTGCTGCCGCTGCTGTTGCTGGTGCGTTTGCGCTTGCGTTTGCTTTTGCGTGTCAACACGTTTCGCGGTCAACATTTGAGACACCCCATTGCCACGCCCACTTTTCAAATGGGCAGACAGGCTCAATGATTTGATTAATCGCCCGAAAACAATTTGTAAATATTTGCAAAGATTTTCCACTCAAATTGTGCTGCGAAGAAACTTCTTGACATATTTTTTTTAATTTCAAAATTAAGCTAAAGAAAGTGAGAGCAAATTTAATTTTTTACTCTTTCTAGCATTGCTTTAAGTTAAGCTAAAAAAAGCCCTATAATTTCAAAAAGTTTTGTGAGCTTAGCTTAGACCCCTTATGTATTTATATAATTTTATATTTTTTATAGAGTCATATATTTTATAGAGTTATTTATAGAGTTATATAAAACAAATGTTGAAAAAATTAAATATACATGTTTGTGCATTTTTTTGCTTTGAATTTATTTTTAATATAATAAAAAATTATTTTAATTTATAAATTGTAGTATAAAAATTCAGTTTATATTGCAAAAGAGCTTGAGTAGTCTAGAATATAGAGCGGAATGATTATGAAATTTAGAATGAGCTTTTGCTATTGGCTTAACTTTGAATTTATATTAATTTAACAAACAAATAACAAATAAAATTTTAAACAATTTTAAAAAACTAAAAACACCATAGAAGACTTTTAATACAATTTATATAAATATTTTATAAATTTAAAAAAAATTAAAATAAAAGAAAGTTAAGTTTAGATGTGCATTAAATTTCTGTATGGAATTGCTTAACATTTGTTTACTTCAAGCCCATTGAAGACTACATTTCTAATGCTTACTGGTTATATCTGTTAGCTAAATAGAAGCGTAGCAAAGTCTATATAGTGCATATGTTCTTAATCGGCAGCTGTTTGTCTACTTATTCGAGTTTGGTTTAGGTTCAGTTAGTTAATAGTCGCACTTCTTCTTCGCCCTTCGCCTCCGCTTATTTGCCCTTACATTCCCATCACTTCCCTACCCTTTCACTTAACCTCAAATATTATTATAAATATCTGTTTTTTATTTATACCAAAAAGAAAATTGCACTAAAAATATATATTTAATTTTAGCTGCTTTTTCTCACGCTCTAATAAAATCTTTTTTTTTTTGGCAATTCCTTAATAATATAAACCATAACCGTTGCGTGCAATTGTTATTATATTCAATTAAATATTTTGACTGGGCAAAAAGAAAAGAAACAAAAAAAATATCAATTTGTTAACCACATCTTCCGTTCCTGGCCGATTGCTCGCTTAACCTCCGGCTGATTTATGGCCTATGCGGTTGCTGCGGCGCTTTCATCGCATGTGGGCAAAGTTTGTGGCCAGTGGCTATTTGGTCACTTTGCAGTGACTTTGATTTTGGCACTTGGCTTAGTTTTATGGCATTTTACGAGTATATATTGATATACATATATATTTGTGCTGAGGCCAGTTATGAAAATGATTTATGCTTGTAATTTGATAGAGCGCCGCGGACAAGTTTCGTGGCTCGATATACGATACGCAGTCAATGCCAAATGCTGATGTCAAGTGTCAGATTACATTTATTTCGATATTTATTACAGAATTAATGGGCAGGCGCAGCCGGCAATTAATTTAATTAGTCGCACACTTGATTTCTGCGTGTCGCCTAAGCAAATTTGAAGCCAGCTGAAACTTTAAACACTATGCTAATGCGAATCAAGTGCATTCCTGAAATTCGGCAAAAACACATAAACTTGTAATCGAGGTTGCCTTGAGTCTGAAATCAAATACAATGCGAATGTCGATGTCAAAGGATTTGCAAAAGAACAGCGCAGCTGAAACCAGATCAGCAGCCGCAGTTGCCGCAGAGTTGCCAGTTGGCCAAATGTCAAAAGCTTAAGCTTTAGTTAAAGCTATAGCGCCGCGCATTTTCATGGTCAGGCTGAGTAGCCACAGCACAGCACAGCGCAGCACACACGGCGCATGAGTGACGTGCATGTTGAGGCGTCACATTTGCTGACCAAGTGCATAAATCAAAAAGCTCCGCTGCCGCATATCCCACGCAGCTAACAGCTCTTGCTCTCGGTGTCTCTTAATCTCTATCCCAGTCACTTCTCTCCTCTCTTCGTCTCCGTCTCCGTCTGTCTTCAGCTGCTGGCGCATTTAATTAATATACAGCTGCCTGACCACACGGCTTTAGCTTTGGCTTTGGCTTTGACTCGGACCAGTAAAACAGAATAACAAACCAGCAGAATTTCAAATAGCTTTACATTTAGTGGAGTTTTTTGGTATGCTTGGAATGCGAGCAGAAAAAATTGATTTGTTTGTTAATTGAAAGCAAAGTAACTCATATGAACTTCTCTCCTCTCTTCTCTTCTTTTGCAGCATCACAAGCATGAAATTGGTGAAGTATTCCAAGATGAGCAAAATATGGCAGCGATCTTAATGCGTCGCCACATGGAAACTGGCGATCTGATAATGGTAAGTGCCCAAGACATGGCTTATGCTATCGCAGAAGGTCAACACAGGCTGGGACTGTGCAACAAGAATTTCAATTAGCACGCCCCTTAGTTGTTGCCTTTGTTTGTTATGACAGACGGCTATTGTTATGGTCAAACTTGGCCACCGAAATGCGGTTGGCTGTGGCTGCTGTGCTGTGCTGCGCTGTGCTGTGGGCCGCACTTGGGGCAGTTACAATTAAACGCCTGCCACTTGCCGATAATTTGCGGATTTAGACAATTTCTGCTGATTAAGCATTAATTTATATATCGCAATATCGCGCCACGCTTGGCCACCAAATGGCAGCCATAATGTGAATTGCATGTCGATCGACATTACACATTGTCAAATGGCCAGCTGCAACAACAACAGCAGCTGTAGTAATATCCACAACAAAAAGAAACGCTCACGAATTGTCGTCACAGCCAAATCAAGCACCTTGACCAATTTGCTAAAGTGAAAACTCAGATGGCGCTCAGGCGATATGCTACAAATATGTCTGGTAATTGTCTGCAAATGCAAGATATATTTATAATATATATATATATATATATATATATATATATATATATATATATATATATATATATATTAGAAATATATTTTATAAAAGTTAATGTGCTCGATTGGTTGGCTAAGAGTCTGTGGCAAGAATTTGCTTAGATATCATGCTAATCTGGAATACATATTGATAGATAGATAGATAGATAGATAGATAGGTAGATAGATGGATAGATAGTTAGATAGATAGATAGATAGTCAGATAGATAGATAGCTAGATAGATGGATAGATAGATAGCTAGATAGGTAGATGGATAGATAGATGGATAGATTGATAGATAGACAGATAGAGATATATAGCTAGGCATCTATACAAATTCTTGCACGCCTTTGAAAGCGAAATGCCTATCTAGGCACAGCTTAACAGCTGCTGTATAATATTTGATTAATTGCTCACACTAACCAGCCTGCAGCAAAGTTCGCCTACGTTCAAATACTACATGTCATGCCTACTTAATGCAGTTTAGAAACAGAAGCTCTATTTATAGTAACTATAAAAAATAGCTTTTGCTCTGAAACTTCCAACTAGGCCGACAATCACAGCTAGAAAACCTAGGAAATGTTTTATGAGCCAAAAATGAGACACAAAAGAAAAATTAAATTTTATTAAATTTAATTTTATTTCTTAATAAATGATAAAACGACACATTCAAATATTAAAAAAACAGACTGAATCTAACCATCTAAAGATTGTAATTCAGTTTCAGCTTGTTTGCCAAATCGATAAAGATTCAGGAAATGGAGTTTTGCATGTTATTTCCCTCCTCTTTTTACTCACACAAAACACTCATCGCATTTGTACTTAAATACAGCACATATTCATATCATGCAACTACATACACACACATACACATACAGTCACACATATATGATTAATGCAACATAGCGTCAAATGTTCTTTTCGCTTCCTCACACCAGCAGCCACATTGGCTGAAGGTCAATCTGGCTGTCGACGCAGACTCTCATTCTTCTATTAACAACTTTACTATTTCTGCAGATAATAAGTTGTTGATAAATTGCTTCAGCTTTTAATTATAACACAATTGGCAATTAACATTTAACCTGTGGCGGAAATACTTCACGATTCGCACGCTGAGTGCAAATATTTGTTGTGGGTGGCGCGGGCACTAAAAGTCTTTGGCTTAGGAAGTACGTTCTTAATTAGCTTGGGAAATTCTCGAATGAATGATACACGACAAACTCACAGCGTAGCGAAAGAATCAAGAAACCACTTGATTGAGTCCGCTTAGATATGCATGAAGATCAAAGCAAATGTCACAATGCCAAAAATTAATAATCAATAACGAACGGAGACAACAAATATGCACAGCAATCGGGTCAATCAAAACCAATCAAGCATCAGCCGCACAAATGGCCAATAAACAAGGCTTCAACTGTGCATCTTTAAAATGGAAAAAATAAAACAACAACAACAACAATACAATACAATATATTTGTATTTATTTATTTCTTATTTTGGCAATTAACTGACGTGTGTTCATTTTTAATTTGTTAAACAAAAGTTGAAAATGTATTTTTGATAATAATTACACACGGACAGAGAGGTTAGCCAAGCAGCCAGCCAATAAAAGGTCAAACTGCAATGTCTGGGCCCGGCTTGGCCGACTTGGCCGTCTTGACCGACTTGTTATGGCCAAGTGCGAGCGCTGCACAGCAAAAAATAGAAAAATTGAAAAATTTTACAATTCATAAATAATATGTATGTAGAAAATGTTTGCCCGCTGACATTTTGAAGTGCAAAATGGCCAAAAACAAAAAAAAGAAGTAAATTTCGCAAGCTCGCTGCAGCTGTTCGTCTGCAGCCATTTGGCCGGTTAGCTGGCTGCTTGGCTGCCCGGCTGCCCCGTGGTCCGTTCGAACAGGCTTCCGGCTTAGCTTTGACCTTAAACGGCTAAGAAAAATAGCAAAAAGCCGACTTGTAATTAAAAATCGACAGAAGATCTCCAAGACAGCTAGAGTTACGCAATTCATCGTCTGCGAAGCCTTTTAGCGATTTTATGGACATTTAATTAGTCCCGCCGTACAGTTGCGACTATAAAATGTGCGTACGCCTTAAGACACAGTCAAAGCGTAATTATTGACCACATGCAGCTTAATCAAATAACTTAGACATTTTGTATTCGCTTAGCGATTACCTAACAGCCGCATTCTTGATACGATATGTCAGACAGTGGATTGGCTATTTGCAAAAAAATAAGAGATATAAGATATAAGATATATATATGAATATACCTTGATGTTTATTTATATTTTTGCAAATTTTGATTTTATTAATTATTGCTGAAAATACAACATTTTCTATCTGCTGTTTTGAAATGTTAAGCTCAGCTCAAACAGAAGACTTAAGACACAAAATTGCTATTTATATATCTTAAAATTGTTATTTCCCATCTTTAAGTATGATTTGCTGATGATAAAGCATCTTCTGTCTAGTACTGGCAATTTGAAACGAAAGACTTAAGGCACAAACTTGATTCTGCATATTTGTAAATTCCAATTTCCATTTTGAAGGAAATTTTGCATAAAACAAACAACTGACTTATTTGCCTGAGAATTCAATGTTGCAACCACAGCGTAAACAAAAGACTCAAGACACAAACTTGCTAACCTACATATTTTTAATATATTATTTAAATATCTTTAAATTCTGATTTCCCCTTTTGAGTAAGCTCTGCTTAAAATTACCTATTTTTATGCCTGGGAATTCCTTATGCCAACCACATTACAAACAAAAGACTTAAGACACAAACGTGTTAACAAACTGTGCATATTTAAACTTCTTCAAATTTTCATATTGCCAATTTTGATTAAGTTTTGCTTTAAACTGATTTTTTGCCAGTTACTTTCGCATTGTACCCACAGTGCAAACAAAAGACTTAAGGCACTAACTTGCTAACAAGCATATTGCTCAAGCTGGCAGAAAAATATACCTCAGCGTGCTATTGCTCTTGTTGTTATTGCTGTTGTTGCACTCTAGGCTTATTTAATTATGGCACATCATATAAATTGGCACAGCTCTTGGCACGCACTATTTGCCGTTGTGGCTGTTGTTGCTGTGACTTAATTACACAAACAGAAAAAAACCAACAAAAGTTACAGAAACTGCCGCCAATAGCCCTGCCTTCCAACCTACTTGGCACTGGATGCTGTGGCGCGCGAAAAAGAAAACGCAAAAAAGGCAACAGTCACAGCACTTCAAGACTCGACCGTTGAGCTACCCGCTGGGTGGGGCAGTTGAAAGGGAAACGGAGTATCGGCATCGCCCCAATTTGGCCAAGGTACCTTGCTAAACGCAACTCTAGGCAAGCAAATAAAACGTTTATTCAGAGATTGTTCGAGTGTTGAAATAGCAATAAATAAACCGAAAATTAAATTGTATTTATAACTGAGTAAGAATAGATGAACGTAGGGCATTTTGAGTAACATATGCCGATTATAATGCAATTGGTTAGCTCATCAATTGTCAGCTAGTTACAATTGAGTTAAGCAATTTGACATTGAAAATATTCGCTCGAGTGCGCCGATTCACACACTCATCGCATTGCCAGAAAACAATATTCATGGCTAATTAGACGCACTCTGCGCCCTGCGGACCAGCATCGTTTGGGCGTTTATTATACAAATGTTCGGCAATTAGTTGCGCAAATATACAAATTGATGACAATTACTTTGGCTTTTGCTTGGCTTGGCTCGGCTTGGCGCCTGTTAATTGTTTAATATTAAATTACAAAGTGCATCGCACTGTGGCAAAGTGCGTTGAAATTAATCAAGAGACGAAATGAGTTCAAGGACAAATAACAAGACGTCAATCAACATCAGCTCCAGCCATCATAATTTTTCTGCTAGACCGGGCCTTTAGCAGCGCTTTACAAATGGCCTGTGCCATTTGCTGATAAATAAAGCATTTTTGGGGCCAACTGCAAATAGCCAAGCTTGATTAATGCTAATTGCGCCAAATGTCAGGCCAACAGCTGCCCGCCGCATTTTGTTTAAACAAATTATTCAAAAGGTCGCACAGCAGATGCAGCCTGGTTCTCCAGCCAGCATCATGTTGACTTTAGACTTATATATATGTATATATAAGCGTGCTTGTCTACCAATTAACAGCCACATAAACGTATCAGACAATGCACTCGGATCTTAGTTGCCTTAAAGTGCTTAGCACAGCCAGAAACTAGACTCAAATAAATTGCGATACGTTTTATGGCTTTCATATGTCCGAGAGCTCGATAAAATAATGTGTTAATCAAGAAACATTTCACATTAAATTTATACTATATTTATATATGTTAAGAGCTTTGCAGTCAAAGAAGTCATATTAAAGAATTATTTGCATTTGCTCTCAAGTTTATGACTTAATAATGTTTGCCTTTCAAAGCGAATATTTATCAAATTTACTA